TACCAGAAGGAAGAGCTTACCAGTTAATTCCTCCCGACATTGAAGTCATCTAGCACAAAACCTTTCTTCACCAGGAGTCCAACGCCCAACCTCTGAACAAATCTTGGCCTCTCCTCTATCAAACAAGACCCCCAATCCACAAAAATAAGAACCCCAAAGTTGTGAGAGAGACCTAACCAAAACAGAGAAGATCCCACACAGAGTCGAGGAAGTATACAGAGTCAAAAATTGGGGGAAGAGGAACCACACAATGCCCCTTCAGTTGATTGACCAAATTTTGCTTCGAGTCAAAATTCCATAGCATTTTGCTCTAGAAAATTGCAATTATTATCAAGATATGACATTTACTGGGCCAGCTTTGTGGAATTTGCTGCGAAGTTTGGGTTGCTAGCTGGTGTACGTCAAGTATTTCTAAAATTGAAAGCATAGACAAAAGCAGTTATTATTAATTAAGCCAGACAATACTATTAACAATCTTGATTAATGAAAGATTAGTCCAAAAAAGTGTCACCATTTAAGAGTCCACGCGGAAGTAACTCTTCATGGTCTCATTCTTAACTTGCTCCTTGATTTATAAAGATGAGAGAGAGACAGCTTCTTTTAAAGCCTTGACACTAAATGGTACCAATTGGCAGCAGTGCTGACGTTCCTGGCCTCCTTGTAGTCAGTATTAGTCTAATTGACCCAAAAAACTTTGTTAGTATGAAATTGCATTGTAATTTCCTAGATTCTAGCATAGGTCGGGAATTAGGGTGTGAATATCTTTTACTAGAAGTTTTGGTGCAACACATTCAATCCCAAATTTTCGAAGTATGACTTGATCGATATGAGGAACTTAATTTCAAGTAAATCATGACATAATCATGCATTCATTATAAAATTCCTAGTTGGAGTTATTTTCACGCAAGCACTTTTATGTTAGCCCTATTTTTAATAGGATTAGATTTTATCTCTTGAGATTACTTTCCTAGTTGGACTCTATTTTGATTTAAGTTAAAATATTATCTTTTCCTATTATGACTTGCACGTTGAAATCATCACCTACTTGATTGGTCTAATTCATTTGTTTTAGTAGATACTGTTTTTCTATTAAAGATGGGCTAGTTGGCATCTTCACAATACACTTTTCCATACTACAATTCGGACGCTAAGGGCGCTCGATTCTCAAGTTGGGCTATTCCCGGTTCACTCGCCATTACTAGGGGAATCATTGTAAGTTTCTTTTTCTCTACGTATTGATATGCTTAAATTCAGCGGGTAACATAGCCGCGCCGTCCTACCTATATAAAGTTTGTGAATAGGTCGAGGGCGTTGTGCCCCCGATGCCTCTAATCATTAGCTTTATCATATAGAACTGGAAACTTCAGAGGGAACCAGCTACTGGACGGTTTGATTAGTCTTTCGCCCCGTTCTTGTTTTTACTTGGTGATTTATCAAGTACTTTCATCATTCATATTGCATTTATATGCATGTTGGTGACTCATACGGTTGACTGCACCAAGACTGTGGTGGGGTTTTCCTCCTACGAGCTTGAAGCAATGGTGACTAGTATTGCGTTCAACATAAGGAGTGTCGAAGATTATCCCGTGACAGAAATTGAGTTATGAAGAAGTCGGTAAACATTATCTAGAACGTGTCTAGGATAAGTGTGTGAGTATTTTTTGTAATTATCGTTCTATAATGGATTTGTGTTGGACTGAGGAATCCTGTAGATTTTCCCTAGATGTGAGGTTTTATCCCGTAAAATAATTCTATGCGTGTTCCTTTATTTTATGCTTTGCACGTTTTTAGGATTGATAAGCCATATCAATCCTGCTACCGAAGTTTATTTTTATTTATTGATTAGAATTTTAAATTGGCCTATTTACCCCTCTTAAGGAATTCTTAGTCATCTTACAAGTAATTTCAAACTTGTAAGTTGTAATGGGGATAATACTGTTTTGCTACACAATAACATGTGGAAAAGTTATTCTATGTGTCATTGCATTATTTATCAGGGATAGCAACAAGTGTTATCCCCGTTGCATGAGAGTTTCTCTCATAATTGAAGGTTTTATGAGAGTGAAAAATGTGAGGTTGGCCAAGTTTCATTAAATTACAACTACGATCCTTTCTGGTAAAAGTGAGGCTAGAGTTATCATGTTCTAGAAAACTACTCTATCACTTATAGTTTGGAGAAAAAATTTAGTTGCAATGGGGACATTGGCGGACCCAATGAATGACTACTGTGGGCACTTGCACACACTTACAAAAAAGTTTCAATCATATAATCCCACCAAAACTCACATTTTTAAAAAAAAAATTAGGTTCTTCTTAGGTGGAGCCCCCACATGGTCATTCAATATATACATTTCAAGCCCAAAGCTTATATTAAAAAAGAAAAACTCCTATGATATAAAACAAGAATAGAGATCCTCCAAGTTCACTCATTCTGTAATTTTGTGGAGAACTTAGTTACTAAATTCACTTTAAACCCAAATATTTTTTGTTTGGCTATATATTAGTTGGATTTATTTTTAAATTACAACTACGATCCTTTCTGGTAGAAGTGAGGCAATTGCATGGCAATAGCAACTGCATTGGCAATAGCTGTCACTAAAATTAAATCCATGATTTTGAGAATATGAATACATTCCTCCTAGCAGGGACGGATCTACAGAGGAGCAAGGGTGGTCAAGTGACCCTTGCAACCTCTGAAATCTGCCATTAAAGGGGAGAAAATTGACCCCTGCAAAGTGTTTGATAAAAGGCCCCAAAGAGGCCAGACTTGGTTGCTCTAGCGTTGCTTACGCGAAGCGCTGCTCGCGCGTTTGTCTTTTTTGTTTTTTTTTTCTCCCCTCGACGTCAAAATGATGTCGTTCTACTAATGGTTTTTTTTTTTTAAAATTTAAAAACCTGGTCATTTTGGCTCAAGTTTAAAAAAAAAAAGAAAAAAAAAAGGCACTCTGTTTTACAGCCCGATACACCCCTCTCCCAAATCAGTTTCAGTTCATTCTTTTCAATTGCCAAACCCTAAATCCTCAACTCCAAATCATATTGAACCAACCTTCAAGTTTAACCAATCCAAGCCAACCACCCCATCCGGCAGCGGCGACATCCTCATAGTGATGGCAACAACAAAGCAAAAAAATCAGCCCCAAATTCAATTTGATTTCAAAGGTGGATTTTTCATTGTCCCTCAAATTTGAAAGTATGTTATCCTAATTTTTAATCTCTTTATGCTTTAACAAATTAATAAATATTCTTATATGTTTGATATTCTCTTGATTAGTTATTTTGTTGAGTTTTTATTTTGGTTAGTTAATTTGAATAAATTAGGGTTATTTTTTATATAATTAGATTGTATACGCTTTAGTTAGATTATATCTTGGCATATTGGATTAGTTTCTGTGTTTGTTAATTACTGAAGATTCTTGTATATTTTTGTTTTATTGGTTGTTGTGATTTTATTTTGGTTGTTTGAATAAATTAGGGATTTTTTATAATAGATTTTATTTGTATTTGTTAGTTAGATTGTATGCTTTATTGATTATTTCTACCCAAGCAGGTTATGGAACGATATTTTAAGAGAAAGTTTTCATCAACTACCTGTAGTTCGGATAATGTGGGTATTTCAAGAGATGTGGTGGGTAGTTCGAAAGAAAGTAAGTTGCAAGATGTATTGGCTAATCTTCCTGCAGACCCTGGACTTCGACCTCAAATGTTGGATTATGATCCTAACATTCGAGAAGAAGTTCGAAGAGCATATCTACAGAAGGGTCCATGTCAACCTAAGGATCACACATTTCCACAAATCGATCTTTCAGGGTATGATCGACGCTTTAATGTCAAGTGGTTTGATGAGTTTGACTGGTTGGAGTACAGTATTAGTAAAGATGCTGCATTTTGCCTTTATTGTTATCTCTTCAAATTCAATTTCAAAATTGGTCAAGGCTATAGCGATGTCTTCACTGAGGTGGGTTTTAGAAATTGGAAGAAGAAAGATAAAATTAGGCAACATGTTGGTGGTGTTGGGAGTGTTCATAATCAATCCAGACAATATTGTGTGGATCTTATGAATCAGAACACATCCAAACGGTTTTGATAAAGCAATCAGACCAAGCTTGCATTGATTATCGTATTTGCTTGATAACTTCTCTTGATTGTGTGAGATTTTTGTTGAAGTAAGGTCTTCCTTTTCGTGACAATGATGAGAGTGACCCTTCAAACAACAAGAGGAATTATGTAGAACTCTTACAATTTCTTGCTGATCATGATGAGAAAGTTAAGGCTGTTGTGTTGGAAAATGCTCCAGAAAATCTCAAGCTAATAGCTCCAACAATTCAAAAAGATCTTGTGAATGCTTGTGCAACTGAAACTATTAAGAAAATCATTAAGGACATGGATGGTGCATTCTTCTCCTTATTAGTTGATGAATCACGTGATATATCAGTCAAAGAACAAATGGCGGTGGTGTTTTATTATGTGAACAAAAGAGGGTATGTAATTGAAAGGTTTGTAGGCATTAATTTAACATGTTAACGACACTACATCAAACTCACTAAAAGAGGCTATTGACACATTGTTTTCAAGAGAAGAATTGAGCATTTCCATGCTAAGAGGACACGGATACGATGGAGCTAGTAATATGAAGAATGAGTTCAATGGTCTTAAAACACAGATTTTAAAAGAAAATCCTTATGCCTATTATATTCATTGTTTTGCACATCAACTTTAATTAGCTCTTGTGGCCGTGGTAAAGGGAAAAGCTGATGTTGCCACTTTCTTCACATCTTACAATAACTTGGTTAATATTATTGGAGCATCGTGTAGGCGACGTGACATGCTTAGAGATCAACTACAAAAGGATATTACAGAAGCTCTTGAAAATGATGATCTTCCAATAGAGCGAGGCTTAAATCAAGAAAATTCTCTCAAGCGTGCCGGTGATACATTTTGGAACTCACATTATGATACATTACTTAGTATCATTTCCATGTTCAAAACCGTGGTGAAAGTGCTTAAATTGGTTATTGAGGATGGCTCCACTAATAATATAGGTGAAGCAAATAGGTCTTTGAGAGAAATACAATCTTTTGAGTTTGTATTTCACCTATTTTTTATGATATCTTTATTGGGAGCCACAGATGATTTTTCACAAGCATTACAAAGAAAAGACCAAGATATTGGGAATGCAATGTCTTTCGTCAAAGATTGCAAGGACACACTACAAGATATGAGAGATAATGGATTTGAAGTCTTGCTTGATCAAATATTTTCTATTTGTGGCAAACATAATATTGAGGTTCCAGGCATGGATGATGCATATGTAGCTCAGTGGAGAGATCACATCGCAGAGCTCCTAGAATAACATAAATCCATCATTATCGTGTGGACATCTTCATTCAAATCATTGAGTGGCAACTTGCAGAATTAAATCATCGCTTTAGTGAGGTAAATACTAAATTGCTTTTTTGTTTGGCATGTTTGAGTCCGAATGATTCATTCATAGCTTTTGACAAACAAAAGCTTCTTCGTTTTGCTGAATTTTATCCTCAAGAATTTACTCCCCGAGACCTCTTGGCACTTAAAGATCAACTTGGGATTTATATTCATCATATGCGTACGAGAAGCGAATTTTCTCAATTGAAAGGGCTTGGTGCCCTTGCAAGAAAAATGGTGGAGAAAGGGTTGCATAGAACATTTAATTATTTCTATTTGCTTCTGACACTAGCCTTAACTTTACCAGTTGCAATTGCTTCAGTAGAGAGAGCATTTTCTGCTATGAATGTTATCAAATGTCCACTTCGCAACTGAATGGGAGATCAATGGTTGAGTCATAGCTTACTTGTTTATATTGAGAAAGATGCATTTGTTTGTATTGATAATGAAACTATAATGGGACGTTTTCAGAATATGAAAACTCGTCGTGCACAATTGTAATGTGGTTTTTTCTATTAATTATGAATTATAAATTATCGTTTCATTTTTATGGGTTTATTTTTGTATATAAAGTTTTTAGCCTTTTAAACGTTGACTCCTGCAAGGAAAATTCCTGGATCCGTCCCTGTCTCTTAGGACATATGGACCAGGCTCCGATAAGGTCCAGCTGGCTCATGTGGCAGGTGTTTGCCTCAACATTTCGTAAAACCCAATAAAGACAAGCTACCTAAAACCAAGGAAGAAACTCAGAGCGAGACTCAATTAGAATGGTCCACAAAATGTCAAAAATTAATTAAATCGCAAGTTAACACCGCCATCTCCTGTTCATGTATTTGTATTTTTACTGGCAAAAGTCCAACACGTACCGTCCCAAACAAAAACAAAAACCAATGTATATGAGAGCGGGCGAGCAAGCAAGCATTGGTGAAGAAACATAATGTACACCAAACTTACGGGCCGATCACCTATCACATTTATAATAAAATTAATAATATAATATAGAATAAATGACGCAAACAAAATTAAGTATTAATTGTTGAAACCATATGATTCCGCATATCCTTGGAATCACATACTCGTATTAGCAGTCCGTCCACCTTAATCACATCAAATGTCCTCTGCGAAATTACCCCATACCTTCCTGAACCTTATCTCCACATAATTCCTCTCTCTCTCTCTCTCTCTCTCTCTCTCTCACTATTCCCCTCTATATATGTGTATTAGCTCGCCTTAATAGCATATAGCAAAGCTTAATTAGTACATTGTAGTGATGGCGTTAAAAGTCCTTTCTGCCCTCGACTCGGCGAGGACCCAATGGTACCACTTCAAGGCCATCATCATCGCCGGCATGGGCCTCTTCTCCGACGCCTACGACCTCTTCTGCATCCCTCCCATCCTCAGGCTCCTCGGTCGCATCTACTACCAAAAACCACACCTTCCCAGGCATGTCGACTCCGCGCTCCTCGGCGTGGCCTTCCTCGGCACCGTCATTGGCCAGCTGGTCTTCGGCAGGCTCGGGGACCGAATCGGGAGGCGCAGCATGTACGGCCTGTCCCTCATGGTGATGATTCTCAGCGCACTAGGCTGCGGCTTCTCCATATGCACCTCGTCGAGCTGCGTTCTGGTGAGTCTCGGGTTCTTCAGGTTCCTGCTCGGAATTGGGATTGGCGGGGACTATCCGCTGTCGGCGACCATCATGTCGGAGTTTGCCAACAAGAGGACACGTGGCTCGTTCATAGCGGCCGTGTTCTCGATGCAAGGGTTTGGGATTTTGGCGAGCTCGATCGTGACGATGGTGGTGTGCGGGATCTTCGACGCAGCGTCCGATCCCAAGCCCACGGAGAAGACTCCGAGTGAAGCTGACGTCCTGCTGCCATGACCTATTATTGGCGAATGATGATGCCTGAAACTGCCAGGTAACTAATTATTTTTATTTACTATATTGATTATCATTTGTTTGATATTTTGGGTTGGATTTTATTTATATATGTATCATGTATGAGTTCGTCAACATCTGTGTGTCTCATCTTGGTTGGTTGTATATGTGAGTTATAAAATTTTGAACAAAAATATTGGTAGGATGTGTGGATGAGGAGGGAGAGGCCAGCAGGGATTAACAATGACAAATAAAAATGTAAGACTATAGTTAAATTAGTTGAATTGATTTTCCCTCCCTGGACTCTTTACTATTGGTAATTTTTGGGTGTGATGGTAACACTGCCGCATAGTATTATTAATATACTCATATTATACGCGTGTATATATTTATACTATATCCTAAATTCAAAGTTGATATGAGTAGACGACAAAAAATTGAAAAATATACAAATATTTTACTTTTTTCTCGTTAGAGTTATCATAGATGAGGATTGCTTCATCCGCCATTTCATTTTTGCCACGCGAATCGCGATGGAGGTGGATTTATATGTTATTTATTGATTAGGGAGTTAGAGAAATAGGTAAAATGAGAGTATGTATGAGAGGTTTGATCAGTAAAGCATATTTGGTAATTTACAAATAAGTTGATGGATGGATGTCCATAAATAGGAATTGGGTATACTATAGGAATTGTTTCGTAGCAAACAACATAGTATTGACTTGCAAATCAATTCCTTTGTTTGATCTAGATATACAGCATTGGTGGAGCTAAATGTCCAACAAGCGGCTAAGGACATGGAGAAAGTGTTGGATGTTTCACTGAGTCAAATTGCAGAAAATGAATCATTGACATTGCCTCAAGATCCACCGTCCTATCCCCTTTTCTCCAAGCAATTCTTACGCCTCTACGGCCGCGATCTCTTCGGTTGCTCAGCTTCATGGTTTCTCGTGGACGTAGTCTTTTACATCAACAACCTCTTCCAATCTCAAGTTTACGGAAAATATCTCGGGAAAAAGTACAAATCCAACGTGTATGAAGATGCTATACATGTTGCCCTATTTCAAGCCATCGTTGCAATATGCTCAACAATTCCAGGCTACTGGTTCACTGTGTATTTCATCGATCGCATCGGAAGGCGCAAGATTCAAATGATGGGTTTTCTCGTCATGGCCTTGGTTTTTTTCGCAATTGGGATACCCTACACATCTTATTGGCAACATAACATAAATGGAGGTTTCATGGTTCTCTATGGCCTCACTTTCTTCTTTGCAAATTTTGGACCAAACACCACTACTTTTATAGTGCCCGCTGAACTTTTCCCGGCGAGATTTAGGTCAACCTGTCATGGGATTTCCGGGGCGATTGGGAAGGTGGGGGCCATTATTGGCGCAGTTGGATTTGGGTCGGCCTCACATACGGAGAACCATAAAGCAGTCAAGAACTTACTGGTGATCTTAGGTGGAGTTTGTCTTTTGGGATTGGCGGTAACGTATTTTTTCACACCAGAAACGAATGGCAGATCGCTAGAAGAGAATGAGGAATGATGAGGAAACATTTATTAAATGCTCAGATGTTTGTTTCATAACTAGTGAGGTCAAATGCTGCTGCTATTCATAGTTCCTAGTTTATAGTTTGCAGACGGTGATGAAGTTATTGTTGCAGTTACTTAGAAATTCAACCAATTTTTTCTTCAACTACGTGTGTTTATGTAGAAGCCTCTGTACTGTATTCCCCCTCTATCTCCTGTACATAGTAGGCTGAGATTTGAGGGAGCCGGCCATGAGGAAAAAGTATATTATTATTAGTGAATTATATATATATTATAAAGGAAATTATGCACTAAATACCAGTTTCAGTCTCCGTTTTTTTGTCACAATTAGGAAGGAGAAGGGGTATTCTCACACCGTTTCATGGGGATCAAACCGCATACCAATAGCCAGCATGCAACCAGCTCTACCACTGAGCTAAGTCCCCATCTGCAGTATTGGGTCATTGTTTACTTGACCTAGTTTTTTCTACATTAGACATCAAGCAAAAGCTAATTTGTTTAGATAGAATATGAGACAAACGTGTCTTGTCAGCTGGCCCAAATGCTTAACGAAATTGTTAGGACATTACCACTTTGTTCCTAAGCCTATTTGGTTGGGGACATCATTGCCACGTTTCACAACCGGCCACCACCGCCAGACATCACCACCTTCAACCACCGATCGACACCATGGCACCACATAATCTAACCTATGAATCAAGCCATTGTGAATTGAGTGGGGAAATGACTTGATACTTTTATATGCCTTGAACCAACAAGGGACTTCAACAATTTCTGTAGTGCAGTTGAGACATTAGTTGAATTGAATTAAGATGAAATATATAAAAGGGAATAAGCACCGTAAATTCAATACAAGCTTAAATCCAATCTGAACCACAAGGAGTCAACAGTTACAGATCTTGATTGAAATTAATAAATAAACAACACAAAAATAAAGGAAACTATAAAAACTAAAGTTACGTCAGGGGCAGTGAGTCTGCCTCCTTACACTCAAGTTCAAATTCCACTTTCTGTAGAATACATAGTTTAGACTATTGCACCTATTAAAAAAAAAACTGAAGTTAATTTTTGGAATATACTTATTCTTCAATATAGGACTCTATCCTATACTCAAGACTAGGTCTGGGCTCAGTTAGGTAACCAAATGAATGACGAGTACCGCCTACGGACCAACGACTGTTAAAAGGGAGATAAAATCAAAACCGCCACCATACCGCCGTTGTTGGTTGTTTAATTCTTCTAGGAAGTCATTAACTATCCTCATTATACCTATATATTTCACAACAAAACTAATTACTCCAGTGGTATGAGGACTTAATTTCCAAAATAAAAAAAAACCTTCAAGGGGTTCAACTCCTCCTCATTGCACAATTTTGTAATATTTGAAGCATCTACAATGGTTTTTCAATAGTTCAATGCAATAGTTTAATTTATTGAACTATTTTGCATCTATTGAATTGAACTACAATTTTATTTGCAATGGTACAGTTCAATGGCTTCAAATCAATAGTTATATATCTTCTTACATGTTTTTTTTACATTCTCAAATAAAATAAAATGGATAAATTTAATAACACTAAAAATTTAGCCATTGAAATATTCTCAAAGAGATCTTTAAAGAGACCAATTTTGAATATATTTTTAAAAATATATATTGATTGCCGTATTTTTTCTATTGCATTGAACTATTGAACAACCATTGCGGACACTCTTAATGACATAATTGCTTTATTTTTTTTCTATTTTTAATTAACATGTAGGTCCTATGATTAGCCTATTGCAATTGTAATGATATGATATGGGTTCAGTTTGATTTGTTGAATAAACTGATTTATAACGGTTCAAAACCCATGATTTTTAAAGCAGTAACGTGAAGCTTCCGTTCTCAAATATAACACACTTTCAACAAAAGATTTACTAGCCCCTTGCTTGCGTCCTCTTTGGTCTGAATTTATCTAAGGTTAATGCCCTCCCTTGGATGAAGTTTCAATAGGGGTAGAACACTATTGGGAAAATCCCATTTGTTTCATTTTGGCATTTTTAATCGCAATTTAAAAACAAAACTTAATCGATCGCAAGAATCAAACAACTTGACCTATCAGACGCATGCACTAATGTTTACTGAGTCCAGTAAGGTCTAGGGGTGGTTGCGGTTCGGTAACAGCGAATTTTTACTCAAACCGCAAACCGACCGCGTTTTGCGGTTTACCGCAATGGTCGGTTACCGCGAATTAGCGGTTTAAAACCGTGAGTTCTCAAGCATTCACAAAAATATAAATTCACAACCTAAATAAATAAATACACAACCTCAATTTCTCAAACATATATAAATTCATAATCTCATCAACTTCTCAAGCATTCACAACCTAAGAAAATTAAAGTTATAATTCCAAGCATTCCAATTAAAGTTAAACTTCTCAAGCATTCCAATTCCAAATCCTTTAAATTTATAAACCAAAAGGAAAATGCAAAGCAAAATGAATTAAAGTTACAACAAAAAAGAAAAATTCAATTCAAAGTTAATTAAAGTTACAAACTAAAAGGAAAATGCAATGCACTAATGGTACAAACTAAAGTTACAAACTCAAGTGTTGGTGGTGAGTGGATTTGAAGAACCCCGTTGTGTTGTTTGAGCACCAATGTTATTTACAAATAAAACAACATAGTGTAGTACATTTTATTATAAGAATAAGCATAAATAACATTAGTATAAATAAACTAATTACTTACAAGTTGTCATATGTTCCATTTCCTTGTAAAATTCAACTTCATCATCCGTGTGGCTATACTTTGCGGTTTGCGGTAACCACAAGTTTTGAAAATCAAATACCGCAACCGCAAATGCGGTTCGGTTCTTAATACCGCAAATGCGGTTCGGTTTACCGCGATTGCGGTTTCATTGCGGTAAATTGTCGGTTAGTTTTTGCGGTTTTTCGGTTTAAAATGCCACCCCTAGTAAGGTCGGTATGCACGCTACAGCTGAAAACTACTTGGGCCACTGATTGGTCCACATATATTCAAACAGCATGAACCATACCCATCAAGAGACCAAGAAGACTAGAGTAATAATTCCTTGCATGAAAAAGAAAATCAATGGAAGCAGGAAAAAAAAAACACTAAAACTGCCAAATATATCCTTAGTTCAATTCTTGCTGATCAAAGTCTAACAATGGATCCGCATCTCTCCTAGAATCATGGGACAAGTAGCCCCAATGTCAATCCAATTAGCGAGCCATTCTATTAACAATTGGAAAACGTACGTAATGTGTATATATGCATTGAACATATATATATACACACAAAAGAAATGTATATATATGTATTGAACATACATATTTACAATAATATTTGTTCAAATTCAAACCCGATATGATTATGATTACAAATTTATATAATGTTAATATGTTGATGTAGCTTAATAATGATATTAATTTAATAATATTAATAGTTATTTTTCATTTGTCTTTCAATACAAAATAAGGAAAGTTTGGCCCCATAATAAATATTATTTTATTGATGTGAGTTTTGTTATATTGGTATATTTGATTGCTTTGGCTTCTTCTATATTAATAGGATAATATTAATGTTAATTTTTCCTATTTCTATTTAATATTGATTTGATTTTCATGTTGCCCAATGTAAGAGATCTCCAACATACAACTATGTATGCAATTTTTTTTCCAGCCAAATATATCTTCTTCTTTTTTCAAGCTTCAGTCTTCAACCATTCATCTCTCTCTCTCTCTCTCTCTCTCTCTCTCTCTCTCTCTCAAATTCTGATATTTTGTATATTATTGTTTTTTTTCTTGGTTATTGATAATTAATAATTTGATGTTATATATATAGTTTGATTATTTTTTATAATTTTTCGTTGAATGCTTTATTTTAGGTGGTCCTCTTATTGTTTTGGTATAGGGACCTAAAATCTCAGAGCCGTCACTGTTAGGAACAACCTAGTACCACTCCGTTTTCAGACTTGTCAAAATTTGTCCCCCTATATATATATGTGTGTGTGTATATATATGTTGCTAATCCAAACAGACAAAACCCAAAAACACCTTAAATTTGTCACTCTAAACAGAGCAATATAAAAAATTGAAAATTGAAAATTAAAAAGGTGCATATTGTTTCCATTCAGATAAGAGTCTTCCTGGATCTTGTCTTTTGTTTGTTTGTGTGTTTGTTGTTGTAGGTCTTTGGTGACTTTTGTTGTTCTTGGATGTGTCCTACTGTCGCTAGGATGACATTGAGTCCTAAAATCATCCTCATGTCGTCCCGAGTACGATGGTATGCTCGGATATGAATTTAGATATCGTTTGATCGTCAATCGGATATCGCATATTAGGCATTATCTGGGTTTGACATGTTCAGACCGTTGGATCGACTCCAATCTAAAATATGTTGATTTAGGCACTCCTAGGATCATGTAAGATTTCACGGATCATGAATCGGAGACCCAAATGTTCCGATTCAATAAGTGAAAGTTTGTGTTTTATGATAACCGTCCAATCGTATGATCATGAGCGATCCGACCTTTCAATTTGAACCAAACTTGCAGGGTAGGTTTAGAAAAATGTGTTGAACCTATAGGAACTCCTGAATGGGTGATCGGAGGTCGTGGGCCTCGCGGGCCCAGTTGACCAAGTTTAGGTAGTTTGACTCCTCGGTTGACCGTGAGTCTTCCGAGATAGTTTTACCCTTCGAGAAGTACTAGAACGACCATGTAAACGAGTCCTGACTGAAAGTTGAGTTATTATAAGCATATTAGGATTAGAGGACTGTTTTATAGTACCTTATAGAAATTCATTACATTGATAAATGAAGTTATGGGATTTTCTTTAAAGGTTATTATTTTCATTAATTGATATTATTATGATTATAAATAAAGTATATGGACTGGGTAGTATTGGGTTATGTATGGAAGTATATTTTTTTAATTGTGGAATATGGTTTTCAAACCCATCATAGGAGTACCCCCAATAGCCTTGAAACAATTTTGTTATTTCTGATAATGCCCCACGAGTCACGGGGACTCTTGAACTATGCGGTGCAAGGATTGCGGCTCGGGTTGACTTCGTGTCTTTAGGCCTGCAAGGATTGTGGCTCAGGTTGACTTGGTGTCTCCGAGGCCTGTGATGATTGTGGCTCAGGTAGACTTGGTGTCTCCGAGGCCTGCAAGGATTGCGGCTCGGATTTACTTTGTATTTTCGAGGCCTGCGAGGATGTAATTGACAGGATACTTGGAATTGATGGAATGTTATCGGAATTGATGGAATATTAAAGGAATTGA